ATTAATTAATTTCCATTTATTTTCTAAAATTTCACCACCCCGAGTTTTTGTAAGAAAACAATTTTTGACCATAGTTTATAAAGCATCAAACTAACATTAATTTTTCATGTAGACTCACACCCTTTAATCGCATATCATTAAGGAACACCCTGTATATGCAAGTAACAAAAAAAATCATCATGAAAAAACATTGAAAAATGGCGGCACTGCAACATTCTTATCGAACTACGATTTTTTAAAACGGCACGCAGCATAACTCAAACAAATATTATTTTCATTCGAATCTTTCAATATCTTTAAAACAACAGTTTGAACAGATACGTATCGGATGCTTTGTAATAAGTTATATTAATCATTATTTGTTAATAAATATTCACGTTTTTTCGTCTAAAACTGAACGTTCATAGACAAATAGCCGTCAACCACAGAAAAATCAATATTTTTAAAATCCTACGTATGATGTTATAAACAAGTACTGAATGTGAGGTACTGTATCTGGGAACCTATCCATCGTAGAAGCTTGCGGCCAAAACAGTTATTACAAAAACGGCTAAGAGAAAAACCTGAAAAATATTTTCAAGTTTCTGAAATGGCCGCTAGGAAGCGTAACTGCAATCTTGAATCTAAAAAAGTGTGAAGTCCGCTATATTAAACTAAGAGTAAATACCTGATCTTTAAATTCGAGGATAATCTTAACCTTTTTTGATTGACAATGTTTGCTGTATCTCTGAAAATAAAGTGGTGAGGGGTATTCAAAGGTTTCCGTTTCCTGTACCTTCGAAACGGCTGAGCCGACTTTAACAATCTCGGGCTAGTTGAAAAGAGCTATTCTAGGGCTACAAATGCTATAGTATCCGAAGTTTTGTTAGTTTCACCATGTGGCCGCTATAGGGCTTTTTTGACATTCGGACAGAAATGCTAATAATTTCCCAAAAAATTAAATGCATTGGTATGTAGTTAAATGATGTCTAAACAAGCTCGAGAAAACCGCATCCCGATATCTTGTTCCTAATTAGGTCAAGGAGAATTTTATGCGAAAATCCCTTGAATTTTTATTTTTTCAAACTAATGTTTCGGGAATTTCTTTTTATTATTAAGTTGTGGCTCTAAAACGGACCGATTTAAAAAAAAAGGTTTTTAATTTTTAATTCCCCCGTAAATGCTCGAAATGCTGACCATCCGTTCTATGGATTCCTGAAGGCTCTCATGGGTAGGCAAAACTGCAGCTTTTCGGCTTCTCGGTATGTTACGTATTGCATTACGAATCCGGTTTTTCATATCTTCTCTGGTTGAAGGTTGAGTCTGAAACACGATGTCCTTTAACCGTCCCCATAAATAAAAAGCAAGACAAGTTGAGTCTGGTGATCGCGTAAGCCATGGAAACAGACTTCCTCTTCCAATCCACCGCTGTTGAAATACTGCATTAATATGCCCTCGCGCAATAATAGCAAAATGTGCCGGGCAACCATCCAACTGCAAAAACAAGTTTTGCCGTGTTTCCAGGGGTACATCTTCTAACAACAACGGTAATTGATTGTCCTAAAGGCAAGAAAGGCATTGCTCGAAAAAAATATGGCCCAATAATTCTGCCTCCCAGTATGCCACACCACACATCTAAACTCCAACACCCTTGGTGCTGAACTTCACGCAACCAATGCGGATTTTCTGTAGACCAATAATGCAGATTGTGCAGATAAACTCCCCCATCACTATTAAAGGTGGCTCCATCGATCCAATGAACCTGAAATAAAAAATCTCTATTTTCGCGTATCATGCCTAACATCCAATGGCAATAGTCCAGCCTGTGATCAAAGTCTTCCTCTTTCCACGCCTGATGCAAACGGCATGTGCATTCTGAAAGTAATTAAAAAAAGTTAAATTCAAATAAATCACTATAGTCCTTCAAAATATTTTGAACCATTGTTCATGATATGCCCAACTCAAGGGATAATGTCCTTGTGCTAACATGACGATTTCCTTATATACCATTACATATATCCCAGTACCCCCATATTTTTTTGTGTTCTTCAAATTCTTTCCCATTGAAACGTAGTCCCAAAGCTACCATTGGCTCGTAAGCTCGCCACTAATCGGGGAGAAACTCTCACATCGCAACGACGTCGCTTTGGATATCGAGTCGCGTCTCGCTACTGCGGAATTCCGAAGACATTCAAAATAAACTGCAAGCATATCAACAGCTTCATCCTTCGTAAAACGCATTTGGTAAGCACAACAATTGCTCAAAGTAACGCGAAACTATTGACAATTTGAGTATTATTTATGTTTTGATTACGTATTTGTTTTGTTGTATTCCATGGCCTGAGGCTATTAATTGTCTTTTTCATATATATATATATATATATATATATATATATATCCATAGTGAATATGCATTTAAACAAAACTATGCCTTTTGTTATTAGCATTACTTACTTACATGAGCGATATTTTCTAATATTTTCAAAAATTAGTTTAGACATGCGAGCTTGTTTAGGCATTATTTAATTACTTTTTCAAAAAAAAAAATCATACCAATCATTTAATTTTTTTGAAAACATTAACAAGACTTTAAATATTATAACATTTGTAGCCCAAGAATAGCTCTTTTCAACTAGTCCAAGTTTATTAAAGTCGGATCAGCCGTTTCGAAGATACAGGGTGTTTTTTACAAACACCTTTGAATACCTCCAAACCACTTTATTCTTAGAGATTCAGCAAAAATTGTCAAACAAAAAAGTTCACATTATCCTCGAATCTAAAGACCAGGTATTTTTTTGTTAGGTTAATATAACGGAATTCACAGAAACATCACTTTTTTAGATTCAAGATTGCAGTTACGTCCCCTAGCAGCCATTTCAGAAACTTGACATTGTTTTCCAGGTTTTTCTCTTGGCCGTTTCAGTGAGAACTTTTTCTTGCCGCAAGCCTCTACGATGGATAAGTTCTCAAATACAGCATCTTGTATTCTTAGTTGGACACCCTGCAGTGCCGCCATTTTTGAATATTTTTTACTTATCTATATCCTCAGTAACTTCCTCCAATATTGTTTTATTACCTTTTCCTCCACAAGACAAAATTATGAGAGGGCGTATTTTCGGTGTTATGCAAGTGCTAAAAACACGAAGTTGGCGACTTCATCTAAGAGTGGTATAGTAGTAGTCACCGTTCTTGGCGGTTACGTCATCAACGTCATAGGAAATAAGTAAACAGATCGAGTCTCCGAACCACGGCACAGTCTAATCTTCAGCACATCTGCTACGCATGAAGTGGGTAACAGGGGTTCGCTGTTTTCATTCTCTTCCTGAAAATACTCTAATAAATTTAGCACGAGCTATCGGCCTTCTACAGCGATCGTATTTCCAGGCATTGTACAATTTTATATTGAAGACTGATAACAGGACAACTCAAATTGCACGCTGATGTCAAGTAAGTTGTCACTCTGACAAATATGATTGAAGGACACTCATATATATAACAACAAAGTTTTCAAGATGGAGACACGCAACTAAAAAACGTATGTCTTTGAGCTTACCAAATAAACGTTTACACTCCGGAGTAGTTTAGGTGTGTATGTATATGGGAGATGGAGATATATAAAGGTTGTCTTACTATGACCCAGAACGGTGACTGCAACTATAGCTGTAGACGTTGTGTGAAAATCACTACATAATACCAAATTTGACGCAGCCATAACAAAAAACTATTAATGAACGCAGAAACTCAAGTGGTCGGCGCTATGTAAAGTATAATTCTTCACTATACACACGGATTTGTTGTGAACATGCATGTTAGACCATAGCCTAGGTCTCATCAGCACAACTGGTCAAGCTGTTGAGATTGAGCTCTTCATATGTTATACATCAAATGGTGAAGACTTTGCTGGCAATGTAAAGTGTCTGTCTGAATACTGAATCTTGACATGTAGATGGCATGGATGTCATTTTGACGAGACCATGAATATAAATACTTACAGTGAGCTAAAAACTCAGCCAACACCAATATACTGACGCGTTTGTAGTAGTAGTATCTTTAGTATCTTTATTTAATAGCTTCAAGCTAAACAATACAATATATATATATATAATGTTATTATCTAAAACTAACACTAGTTTCTACATATATTCTCAATTGTCTTTTGAATTTGACAAAATTTGCAGATTTGACTTCAGCTGGTAAATTATTAAAATCTATAAGGCCTTTATGAAATAAACTATTTTGCGCAAAAGCAGACCCCACAGCAGGAACATAAAGATCAAACCTATTCCTTGTATTGCAACTATGAATATCACAGACAAATTGCAAACCTTCCAATATGTGTTCAGGATACATCTCATTCTTTATTTTGTAGATGACTATCATTGTATTGTAAAATATATTTTGTTTGATACTTAATAAATTAGTTACTTCTAACATGTCTTTAATTCTTGTGTATCTATTCCATCTTAATATACATCTAAGAGCCTGATTTTGTTTTCTCTGTAGTGAATCTATATCACCTTTCTGAAACATATATAATATGGTGGAACAGTAGTTAAAGTGTGGCATGACTATTGTTTTATATATAACTAGTGATGTCCATGAACTAAGGTCCTTTGTTACCCTAAACATTAAATTAACTTTTTTTATAATATAATCTGCATAACTATTGAATTTGAGTCAATCATAACTCCTAAATATTTATACTTGTTAATCTGTTTAATCTCATTATTTTCAATTATAAATCCGTCATGCAGATAAGTGTTGTTCCCATGATATGCATTATAAGGATGCGATTTACTGAATAGACTGACATAATGCAATGCTGAAAACTATTCTCATTTAGCATCTATATAACATGTTCCAAAGATCCAGCTTTTAAACATAGGCCTAGCATACACTAAGTGGTGACTCTAAAGTATCTATAAAGCATGCAGGAACTCCTAATGGGGACATAATAAAAGTGTGAATGTCTGTCCAGTTTGTCAGTATCTGAGGAAGGTTATAGGCATGGTTTTACCCACCTGTCCATCACCTATTTTGACTAACTGACGCAAGTACCAAAATCTTCCCAGACAGCATCAAGCCAGTAAAAATGTGGCTTGCCATCACCTACACTTGGAATTGTGACTAACATAAAACACTGTTATTAAGTAATGGCATTAGTAAATTGACTGCCAACTTCCATCCTTGTCAAATCTGGTTACTTCATTAGAGGTGCCACCTACTCTTTCTGTGGGTAAAACCTTGGGGAAGAAGCTAGTAAAAACTAATCTCAGATTTCTATGGTCCAGCAAGTGCGGCCCAGATGTTTATCCTTAAAACAAACCTCTTTGGGTGCTGAACTTCATGCATGACAATTTTTCAATAAGGCCCAGTTGAATGAGTGATCATGTCTGAAGGGGAATGACATGTTTAATGACAACAAAGAAACAACTACCTTATGGAGCTCTATGACAATTTGATGACACTTGACATAAAATCAATTTCATTGGAGGTCCTTTGACATTATGCCCTTGAAGGGTAATGGAACCCATAAAACTTATCCCATGTGGTTTTTATGTTCCTAGGACTCCATTATTTTGTCTGACCAAATCCACACCACCTATATGTGTAGAGTTCTGTTAATTGTAGGATGTTTTATCCAACACTGTGGTCTTCTTCAAGTACAACTGACCACAGTAGTGACTGAAATGTTGTGCAACAAGCAAAAATCTAAATATGTATATGGTCATAAAATCAATTTCTTCAGAAGTCTGTTTTGAAGAACATAATCAAGATGCCTTCCAGCATTGAGAAATATTATACTGCTAAAATTATACTACATACCTTCTTGGTATTTTCAAGCTACCCTTGTACTTTTCATGATCTAGTCTTACAGCTGCATATTTTTCTTTTGTTAGCAAGCCAACCTTAGTGTTTGGGTGAATACATTTAATGTGAAGTTTTTCTGCCTCAAATTCTGTACCAGCTAATTCAGCAGTTGACAGAAATTCTTGGAATGATGATTCCTCTGTAACTGATTGTAGATTCAAGCGACCCCAGTCATATCCATCCTGAACCTCAGTAGTATGTAACTGAAAAGGTATTCTATCAATATGTGAACAGCTTCAAAGATAAACCAAAAATGCTGCTTAGCTCTGCTTTTGAGTGGTAAAGATTAGTGAAAATAAAAATATTGAAGATATCATGTTGTTTATTGTGGTACCAATAAATGTGTTGTTTTTGTTCCTGGAAAAATAATCCAAGTATTGTCATAACAGAAACAGCGCGCGTATGGTGCAGGGAAGGTGACATGAATATATCTACTGGACAGAAAGTATGTATTCCAATGCATACCATACCATAGAATTATCAGAAACCATTTTTCTGTTCTTATTTCCTCCAAATCGATCCTTTATCAGACTTCTACCCAAAGCTGAAGATTGACCAGATGCTTTTTTCTTTGGCATATTTGCACTTTTTAGCTGTATATCAACGATGTCCCATACAAAATCAGCTACGTTTAAAATACGTTTTTGTTACGAAATATGGCCACACACACTTCCAACACCACGACAATAGGAAGATTTTTGCTATTTATTTTGTTATGTGACACTGGCTCTCTGTGGCAGAGACTGTGCAAAATAACACTTGGTAATCGTGGTATCACACCAAAATGAATTATTTTTCCAGATTCAAAAAAGGTAGGGTTATGCACACATAGCAGACAGAAGACAGTCACAGTTCACAGCACAGCACAGCACACACGCACACAGCACAGTGAGAAGTGAGAGTATCTTGTCACGCGCCACAGAAATCACTCGATCGATACGTCATCACCCCATGACTACATATCCAGTGCTGCCCATTGACCTGCCATCGACTACTGTGTGCGGGTGAAACGTCTTATAGTCGAACTGGCAACACCAAGGTCATCCTCTCTGTAATCTTCTCCAGGCAAAAACGAGGTAACTGTATTACCGGCATCTCGTGACGTGTGCTTGCCGGGATTCACGGTTGCCAGGCGTGCCGATTTTTCGCCAAAGTGGCGATTTGACGGCTTCAAATGGATAGCGTGGCGATTGGCTACTTTAATGGCGCCCAGTATCCAGCAAACTGGCGATTTTTAACATTTCTGACGCCAATTAATTTGTAATCAATTTTTGCTGCTACAGGGAAAATCAAATTTGTCTGACGGCTTGAGTTCAATTTGTATGAGAGAGAAGCGCGAGAAGTATGTATCGACACGCTAGAAAGAGATAGAAGCCGGCTGAAGAGCGATGGCCTAGCATAGTTTCTTCAAATCTGTCTTATTTCATGCAAAGATTGCATCATCAAACTGTACGCTTATCGAGATGGGTTATTATAGGATGACTCATATAAGCCTACAAACTGAAAATACTTTGCATTTACTTGAAATGCTTAAAAACGTATTTTAGTCAGAAAGATAATCTGTATATGGGTTTAAGGAAATTCGGAATGGCAAGTAATGGGTGGGCCATTTAAAAGTTTCGATTTAAAAATAAAATAAAACAAAAACGGTTTGAGATATTGCCAAATTTATTTTTTTGTTTTGAAGTACAATTGTTCCGCTCAGAAATGAAATATTACTTCATTCAAATGGCTGCCGCGGCTGGCCTCACAGTAGCCCATTCGATCGGACCAATTTTCGAGCACTTTTTCGAGTGTTTGGGGCCGTATCTCGTCAATGGCATCACGAATGTTGGCCTTCAAATGGTCAATTGTCTCTGGATGGTCGACATAACACTTGTCTTTAACAGCGCCCCACAGGAAATAGTCCAATGGTGTCAAATCGCAGCTTCTTGGCGGCCAATTGACATCACCATTTCGACTGATTAAACGGCCATCGAAGGTTTCGCGCAATAAGTTGATTGTGGCATGCGATGTGTGACAAGTTGCACCATCCTGCTGAAACCAAACATTCTCCACATCAATACCATCAAGAGCAGGAACAAAAAAATCAGTTATCATGGTGCGATAGGTGTTTCCATTGACAGAAACGGTTGCGCCGTCCCCGTCTTCAAAGAAATATGGGCCAATGATGCCTCCGCTCCACAATCCACACCAAACAGTCACTCGCAAGGGATGCATTGGCTTCTCTAAGACCTCGTGTGGGTTTTCCGAGCCCCAGATACGGCAATTTTGCTTATTGACGTAGCCACCAATATGAAAATGAGCTTCGTCTGAAAAGATTATTTTTTTCGCAAAATCGACATCATTGATTAGTTGCTCGTTGGCCCATGTAGCGAAGGCAGAACGAAGTGGATGGTCACGCGGCTTCAACTCTTGAACCAATTGAACTTTGTAAGGCGTCATACCGAGATCTTTCCGCAAAATTCGTCGTAAACTGGTGCGGGAAATGTTCAATTCTTGGGAACGATGACGTGTTGACGTTGATGGATTTTCACGCACACTCGCAGCCACAGCATCGATACCTTCGGGTGTACGCACTGTACGAGCACGCTGACGTGTTGGAGCATCAACAATGAAACCAGTTTCACGCACTTTATTAATAAACTTGCGTATACCGGGCGCTGTTGGTGCTTCGTTGCGACCGAATTTTGAACGGCATTTTCGTGCAATTTCTGCCCAATTGTCTTTGTTTTGGAAATAAATTTCCAATATTACCCAACGTTGCTCAAGCGTAAATCGATTCATTTCGTTCAGCGGAGATAATATACTGAATTTTATGACAAATCAGATTGACATAAGTATTGTCAGCGTCAAATTAACACGTGGTTCAAATCGAAACCGATAGATGGCCCACCCGTTATCTTTTCGAAATGCCAGTATAAAAAATTCTACGTTTAGCTTAGTCTATACATACTATTGGTGGTCATAATTATAATCTTTTTAGCAAAATAGTGCATGTAAACACGAGTCAAAATGACATAATTTTTATTATTGTGGTTTTCCTGAACGGTGGTGTTACCTTGTCGCTTTTCTGCCTTATAATACTGCCGAAGTTTGCTCCAATCCAATCGACTCCTTATTCCTTTTCAGGTTCCCAAGATCACAACAATAAAAGCTAAATTGTGTCACGGTGTAAATAGGTAACAATGAATTGCGCGTCTTGATAACCTTGAATTCAATGTGCTCTCTCCAGTTCAGTTTATAGTCCAGGACAATTCCTAGATATTTTATTGATTGGGATAGAACTAATCTAGTCCCAAATAAGGTCGTCAAGACAAGCCCGTGAAGCCTTCTTCTCCTAGTGAATAGGATCAGCTCGGTCTTTTCAGCGTTGACAGAAAGATCGACTTTCCTACACCACGATTTCACTATGCTTAAGTCATCAGCATATTCTTGCACATAGACAACCGCACTGCTGAGCCTAACGATGAGTTCGTTCACTACGAGGCACTACAGTAGGGGTAACAGGACAGAACTTCGCCCTGCGGGCAGCCTCAAGCTGATGCTGCAGCTTACGTCATTCAGCATAGCTATTGATACCCGACTCTCCAGAGTGGATAGGACCCAATTTACTATGATTGATCCAACCCCGTGCCTGACCAAAGCAAAGTCGGTTGTAGTGTAATTAAATGCACCTTCAATGTGCAAAGAGGCCACGAGTGCGACTTCTCGCTGATCTAAAGTTTTCTCCAGCCTACCGACCAGATTGTATAATGCCAGATCAGTCGATTTCCCAGCTTGGTATGCAAACTGATTGGAATGAACGACACATCTCTCCAGTGGGCCATCCCTAAAAAATCTGTCATCTATCCTTTCCAATGTCTTAAGCACAAAAGATGAAAGGATAATCAAACGAAAATCCTTCGAGCCAGTATATCTAGCTCTGCCCGGCTTAGAAATAAATACCACTTTAGCCTGCCGCCAGATTCTAGGCGTGAAGCCCGTGGCCACACATACTCGAAACACCGTCAACAGGTGAAGAACCACCGAGTCCGTCCAGACCCAAGCTTTTGTGTGGAGCAAACCAGGATTCTCTGTACGCTCTTCGAATATCTTTTTTGCATTCCTACAACGCCTTCTTGTAGTCTTCCCATTGTTGAGACCTTTTCCTGTGCTTAACTCAAGAAGTTTGTGCACAGCTCGTTTCCTAGGTTGACTTGCCCTTACCTAGAACTTTGCGTAACGGTCAGTTTTCATCATAGGAAGCCGTCAAGTCCCTTCTCAGAGACTTTATGGCTGCTTCTATATGAGAGCCCCTAGAAAGGACGTATAGGACTTCTCCAAGCTTACCATCAAGGTCTGCCCTAAAGGACGCTCAGTTGGTATGCCTAGGATTTCGAGCATACTTATCTGGAATCTCTCATCAGTCTTAAACATTATAAACCTGTGATCCGATAGAAAGGGTGTTGGAGACATCTTCCAGTCCCTAATCTCCTGCGCTAAATTAAGGAACTCCATAGGGTCTTCGCCCCGTCTGCTGATGTTTGAGCTGCCCCACATGACGTGGTGAGCATTGCTGTGGCATCCAATCACGAGGTCGAGTCCAGGATCCCAACAATATGCGACAAGGTCCCCCAGTTCCTGAGACGGAGGAGGTTCCCTTGAGTCGTAAGGAAGGTATATTGATCATACGACCAGGTCCCTATCAGTGCCTTCCTTCTTATATCTAATTCTAACTACAACTAAGTCTCTGGAGGTAAATTCTTTAAGATGTCATGTATTAATGCTAGTCATTACTCAAGCTCTGGGCTTATAGTGTTCGGAGTATCGCTAAAAAGCGTATATCCTGGATTCCTGGATGAGAACCACGCCGTGGGGGCCTTGAGAGATCTCCTGTTTGAGGGCCCTCGGATCCGCTATGCAGTGCTGTAAATTAATTTCAATAAAATTGAGACTTACCGTGGATGTTGAGAGTGCACCCTCCCGGATACCGGTATAAATGCCCTATTCGGGCGTACAGCCGTCGTCGCCACAGTATTCCCCGTCGCAGCCGCCTTCGACTCCGCTTCCACAGAGGAGTTCTCGGACTCGATTGAAGATTCTTTCCTCGTCAGAATCGGTGGGGCACGTTCAATAGCCGGGCCCGCCACGATGTTTCCTGAGGATACTCCGCTACGACCTGCCGTATCCCGTATCCCCGATCGTAGCCTCGGGAGGTTCCAGCTAGAGCTGCCCCGGCTGAATCGTCTCTTGTGGAGGAGCCTGTCATGCTCCGACAAGTGTAGCCTCGGTGACTGGCTTTTTTTGCTCAGGAGTGTGAACACCCCCGAGCTTCCTCCGCAGCACAACCTATTGCCGTTAGCCTCAATAACCTTCCAGCTTATGGAATCCACTGAGAGAATAAGTCTGATCCTATCTCCCAGGCTGGAACCCGGGAACCAGGCCATCACGCGGTGGTAAACAGGAAGATCACCAAAGCTCATCGTAATTAGCCTTGCACCTTCTGCACCCACCGCCGCAGATCCCCCACGTGGGCCTCCAACCATACCCTAGAGAGAGGTAGCAGTAAATGTACCTAGGAAGGGCCCCCTCATCTGGGAGCGCATCTATCAGCACACTGACCCCCTCCTGCACCTGATGCATCTGTGCCTTGGTGCCTCTTCAGACAGGACAACACATGAATAACCGGGGCACAGGTAATAGATAAACTTCATTGGCAGTATATTCAGTAGTTTTCTCACATAGCAAATATCACTGATTTTATACACCAATACACATAATCCAGATGCGATCTTGCTACTCACCCAAGTTTCTTTCTTTTCATATCTTCTCAGAGATAAACACTATACAGACTACTCGGCTTCACAAAACATATACTTGCGTTCTGCAACCAACAATGCGTGTCGCTGAGTCATTCCTCCATAGATGGACGCTCACACCAATCACAGCGAGCAAACGTGGAATGAACTATTTGCACCCTAAGAACTACATAGTCTGTAAGATGACATTTGGTCGATTTTTACATTTATTAGGTTTTT